TCTACCCTCACTTCAGGAGGACTAAACCCAAGCCTCACAAGGACTTGAGGTCGGATTAGCTCTGAATATCTCTCCGATTTGCAATTCGCCAAGTTCCTTAGGACCTGTTCGTCTGCGGCACTGAGGTCTGGCCGGATGCCTGAGAAATGAAACCAGCTAAACAAGGTCAGCCTAAGGGAAAGCTAGAACTTATTCCAACTTGCATAAAAAAAAAAGCTCACCCAAGTTGTTAGGGGCAGACCACCCCCGAGGGACGGGAAGAGTGTCTGTCACGTCGGCAGGATTGAACTCCCATTCCCTCCCCCACACGAAAAAGAATTATTTTTTCCAACGTTTATGCAAGCTCGGGAGATCAGAGATAAAAACCTTGGTTTTCACTTGTTTAGAGATGTACAAAAAGTCATCAGTGGGAACATATTTGACATTGAAGAATTTCATGAGCAAAGACAGGGTGGGGACACTCAGATCATGTTTTTTAAAGAAGACAAGAAGACCAACTAGCACCCCCCAAAAGTTAGGAGAAAGCTGGGCAGGGCAGACATTGAAATATTGTAAAACATTTTTGATGAAGGGATTCAGGGGAAAGCGAAGGTCGTTCTCAAAAGCAGCCAGGAAGAAGCACACTTTTTTAGGGATAAAGGAATCGTATAAGGTAAACATATCCAGACTGTAGAACTGGGGGCCCTGAGGAAACCCAAAGCAGATAGCCAGCACCTTCATGTAAGAAGGAACGATGTCACTACACCCCACGAGCTCGGAGGCCCTAGGGGCAACAACACCACCCCTCAGCACTGCCTGAAATTCCCACGCCACTTACTTTGGTTTTGCCTTTACTGAGAGTTTTCAAGGCAGAAGGAGGCTCCTCAGTGCTTCTCTCGACATTGACAGAATCCACTTCGGGAAAATCATCTATCTCTAACCCCACATCCCCCAGGTCAGAATCTTCCTCAACAGACCTATCTTTCATTTGCGAAACGGACGATCCTGTGGCTTTAGAGGAAGCAGACATAGCTGGACAAGAATAAGGAAGCTTAGAAGACCTATAAAGAGGGGGGACCTCCGAGAAACACTCTTTGAGAGCCCAAGGAGCAAGACACCGAAAATCAATGGCGAAAATCCTAACTGTGGAGTAAGTGTCCAAGAAGAGAGGAAGAAGAGATAGGGGAATACTTCGGCTCCTAGAGTAGCAGAATCGAAAGGTCCAAAAATGCCAAAACCACCTCAGACTTGAGGGATCCAGGGCAAGGAGCGAGGAAAGAAAGGAAAAACGTACCTAACCACGAATTGGTGATGAATTAAAGCTCGAGAAGGGGATTTGAAACCAAATCACGCTAAGCCTCCAAGTCAAAATTGGGGAAACCGTCCCTCAGAGAAAACCCTAAAACCAGCGACATAATGGGGAAGATGAAGTCATGAAAGGATAAGCAAGCTGAAAAGGATCTGTAAAGTGAGGAGCAAATCGGTGATCCAGGAGTATTTAAAGTTAACGGTACCGTGGGCCTCGAAACGGGCAACGTGCGCAAGGAACGAGAAAAGAAATGATTACTGACAACCACTTTAAAAATAAATAATAATAATAATAATAATAATAATAATAATAATAATAAATATATATTCCCCCGTAAATTTTGAAGTCAGTGATTGGGAAGCCATTATTGTTACATCCTAAGTTCAGCCCTTACCCAAGCCAAATCGGCCAAGAGCTGGGGGGCAATTGATGATACTCAGAATGATTCCCGAGCAGGAGCTCGGGAACGGAGGTCAAACATGGAGGTCAGGTATGCTAAGCTCAGAAAGTCAGAGCTAGAGCTCCCCTCAAGCGAGATAATAAGTTGAAGCAATGAGGAAACAATTGGATACTACAAAGAACTTGATAGGCGGTTTGAAGTAACACTCAAGGCACAAAATCCTCAACTAACCAAGATACTCTCCTAAGATCAAGGAGAATTTCTCGAATAGATAGTGAGGATCAAGGATCAGATCCCATAGATTAAATGATAACCCTATAAATACTATGTAGCGCCCCCCACAGAGAGGTAGAACCCTAATATCACATCTCACATTCTGTAAACCTTTTGGTATAGTAAATAGTGAAGGAAGGAGCAAGAATCTCTATTGAAGAGTGGATTAGCCGAGCTTTCGAACTGGTGAACCATTATATTTTTATTGTGTTAATTCTCCAACTCCCCAACAATTCTCAGTTTCATTCTCTCGAATCTAGTAGCTCAGATCCCAATAATTCCAATATTATTTCTTTCATTTACTCGTCATCACAAAATTGCATCACGTTGAAATACACCATCAACACTTATCCATTTGAGAACATAATAACTTAATGTTATTTTTAATTATCATTCACATAATATCTAATATGTTCAATCTCTTATAGGATTTGTGGAAAACCTTTTCTTTAGAACTATTTGATTCAATAATAGCAGTCAAATTTTATTTTTTTTTTCATTTTGAAGTGTCAAATAAATATTCAAACACATTAATGAAACTAAATTCGTCCTTACCAATCTGAATAATTTATTCCATTAAGTATCGAACAGGACCAAGATCAAGCATGCGAATGTAAAAACAAATGAATTGGCAATAAGGTAAATGTTCACTATATTAATGCTTTGAGTCATCAATAAATTCTATTATGAGGTAGAATTAAATACATATTCTAATAAGTAATAAGTAGTACTACTGTAATTCTCTTTTGGGTAGCAATCACGATATACTAATAGTTTAAACATTATGGTGATTCCCAATCTCCTAATAAGACTTATTAATAATATATCTATAATTAGGTAAGTCCGTTACCTTTGGGTATCCGATTCCATACACATTAAGAATATACATCAATTATTCTATTCCAATTAATTAATTACTTAAAAAGTTGTGCATCTTTGGACCGATTCCAAATGATTCAGAAACTACAATTTGCAAGTCATTATTTTAATACTTTTGAAATGGATATTAAATATCAATTATATGATTTAATACTTATTAGTCATTTTAGTTAGGCCACTATATCATAATATAAGCACTAAATCAAAACAATAACGTTGCACAAACAATTATTTTAATGTCACAATATAACAAATATTAAAAGCAATTATGTAATTCGATATCTATGAGTTATTCTAATTATACTACTTTAATGACTACCAAACTATATCGTAATATAGAGCTCGAATCGAAATAATGATATTGTATAATAAAATTTTAATATTTTGAAATAAATATTAAATATCAATTTATGTGATTTGATATATATATATATATATATATATATATATAAGTCATTCTAGTTGATGAATTAAGTGTTAATTGAATGAATTTGAATATAAATTGGAAGAATTGAATCTTAATTTGATATTAATTTGATGAATTGAATATTAATTAGATGAGATTGAATGTTAAGTTGTTGAATTAAATGTTTATTAGTTGAATTTGAATGTTAATTTGATGAATTAAATGTCTATTAGATGAAATTGAATATTGATTTGAAGAATTGAATATTAATTTGGTATATATTTGATGAATATAATATTAATTAAATTAAATTGCATGTTATTTTGATTGTGATGTGATAAATTGAATCTTTATTGGATGATTTTGGATTTTAAAGGTCGTATGAGACTATTTAAACACAAAATTAAATATTTTACAGATAAAATTGATAAATTAATACTTTAAGAACTAACTGATAAATATATATAACTTTAAAGATGAAAATATAATTAACATTTTTTTCGTATTACGACCGAACCTAAGAAGTGACGATTCGGTGTAATTTAGCAAATGAAGAATTACACTTTAATCCGTAAAGTTATCACATTTATTAGTTTGGTCCTTATAATATTAATTTTTAATTTAATCCCTAAAATATTTAATTTTGTCTTTAAATAGTTTCGGATAAACATTTAATATCCAAAATCATCTAATAAATATTCAATTTATCAAATCAAAACCAAACCGATAATTCAATTAATATTTAACATCAAATTTACACCAAATTAACATTCAGCTCTTCAAATTAACATTCAATTTCATCTAATAAATATTTAATTCATCAAATTAACATTCAAATTCAACTAATAAATATTTAATTCATCAACTTAACATTCAATCTCATCTAATTAATGTTCAATTTATCAAATTAACATTCAATTCATCCAATTTATATTCAAATTTATTCAATTAACATTCAATTAATCTAATTAAAATTAAAAATCATCATATTTAATTTATTAAATTAAAATCAAAGTAACATGTAACTTCATCTAATTAATATTTAATTCATCAAATTTACACTAATTAACATTAATTTGACCTAATTAACATTCAATTCAGCAAATCAACATTCAATTCATCAAATTAACACTAAACTAATATTCAATTCATTAAATTAGCACTCAATTCATTAAATTAACATCCAAAATTATCCAATAAAAATTTATTTTATAAAATCAACACCAAAGTAATATACAATTTTATCCAATAAACATTTAATTCATTAAATCAACATCAAATGAACAATCAATTCAACAAATTAGCNATAAACATTTAATTCATTAAATCAACATCAAATGAACATTCAATTCAACAAATTAGCATTCAATTTCATCTAATAAAATTCATCAAATTAACATTCAAAATCAACTATTTAACATTAAATTCATCCAATAAATATTCATTTATTAAATTAACACCAGATTAATATTTAATTCATTAAATTATGTGGTATGTTTTATGGTTACAGGGTGAGTAACGTTGGCGTTCCAACTATTTTATAGGTTGGGTTACAACTTTTCTGAATTAAGTTTCAACCTTTTGAGGTATGTTATAATTTTTGGGGTTGTGTTTCGTATGTTACAATTTTTTGGGATTGGGTTTCAACCTTTTGGTATATGTTTTAATTTTTGGGATTGTGATCCAACCTTTTGGAAGGGATTCCAATTTTTTTAGTGGAGTTCAAATTTTTAGGATTGATTACATCTGTAATAATGGGGTTACAACTTCAACGGTGGGATCACAATTTTTTTGGTGTGGGTTATAACTTTTATGAATTGAGTTTCACCAAAGCTTTTGGGTATGTTGCAATTTTTGAGGTTGTGTTTCAAATTTTTTGAATTGAGTTATAATTTTTTTGGGATTATAACTATAAAGTAAGCTAAAAGTAAAACTAAGTACCACCAGACAGAAAAAAGAGGACATAATTAGTATTAACTGAAGTCTATTATTAATTAAATAGTTATAATTTATTAATTTTTTAAATTATATTTGTAAATTATGTCCAAATAACATATTAATTTTTAGTGAAAATTAGAGTTGAGTCCTTCTTAAGAGATTTATAATTATTTGAGTCCGTCAAGAAAATTTATTTAGTTATAAGTCTATTTTTTTATCTTACTAATAAATAATTAAGACCACAATTTTTTAAAAACTTCAAAATATCAGTAGTATTAAAGGTTAATTTTGTTTCCTAATTAGGAAATGCTCAGATTCTTTACTCTTTAATTTTACCTTTATTTCAAGCTTATAAGGTTTTTTATAAAATTTAAAATTTAAATTCTAGAGTCCATTTTCTTGTTCTTGTCAATAGAAAACCTAGAAGGAATCTTCTTCCTCGTGCCATTGGCCAGCAATCATATTATTCAAATTCACCCCCAATCAAAATGTTACGATCATAGCGGTAATGTTCAAATCCTTTCAATCTGAGCAATAGAGTCACCAGTGCCACATGGCATGAGTCCATGGCCTGCCGAAAATCAAGTAGCTGAGCAGTCAAAGTTGGCATCACTCACCAAATCCTTGATGACCTTCATAACTTTATTTGAGAAGACTCTTTAGTGGAACAAACACACCATTTCCACCATAATCATCTTTTTTCTCTCTCTCTCTCTCTCTTTTTTCTCTCTCTCTCTCTATATATATATATATAATTTTTTTTACCATATTACTATTTATTTTACTATTTTTATTGTACATATTATTGTTTATATTACTATTTTTGTTGAGCATGTTACTATTGTTATTTTTTCAAATATTAATACTCAATGTTATTATTTTTTTATTTTTAAATATTATTATTTTTTTATGTTTAAATGTTACTACTTTTTGTGTTTAAATCTTACTAATATTATATGTATATGTGTGTGTATATATATATATATATATAATTCTATTCTATATATAGATATAAGAGAGAGATTTTAATGTTAATCAAACTTCTAATTAGTTTTCAAATTTATTTTAATTAAACATAACTACAAAGGTATTTTGGACAATAAAAATCAAAATAGACTTAATATTAAATAAGTTTTCTTGATAGACTTATTTCTAAATAACTCCGCAAAAGGAGATCAACCTCCAAATTTCTCTAATTTTTGTTAGAGGTGGGGCCTGTCTCTACTCATTCAAAAATGAAAATTATTTTTTTAGTTTTTCTATGAGTAATGTTATTGGAACTTAATTTATTAACCTAATTCACTAAGACCTTTGGATTAACTGTGAGCTCCATCAAACATTAAAATTTAGTGTTTATCCAATAATTTTAATGAAACTACGTCATTAGGTTAGTAAATTATGTCAAACTTTTAGGTTCAAATAACATTTTTCTTTTTCTACATGCATTCTTCTCTTTCTTTTCTGGTTTGTCTTATATTTTTAAGGGTAATGCTAATTACATGTAATTTATAAATTTAATTTATTAACTTAATCACTCACTATCATTAAATTTACAGTAGATTTCAGTATTTATTAAGACTGCTTTTCTAAATTTTAATTCAGGTTTGGTCTCCTAAAATTGATCCGCATCCTTGCCTGTCTTCTCAGTTCTCAGCCTTACGCTCCTCTTTGTTCGTACTCCTCTTCAACAACCTCTGCCTGCGACCTTTCTAAACTCGCACCGCCATTCTCACCAGCTATCATGGTCTCAATCAAGAGGTTCTTGAGCGAGTGGCAACTGAGAGGCTCTTTTCTCGAGAGTCTTCTCATACAAGTCTATCAAATTCTCCCGGGAAACATCAGAAAACGTAATTCATCAAATTCAGTTACTGTTTTTCTTTGGATTTTATACACTGTTGCAGACAAGGTGGCCACATATGCTATCAGCATCGTCTCAAGAAGTATAACAGACCCTTTTCTCCCCCACAACCGCGAATTAGTATCCTTCTGGACAACCACCTCCTCCACTTGGGCGGCCCAGACACCATCACCGCCTTTTCGCTGGACGACAACCAGCTGTGGTTACGCCAAGTTCTCACTCTGGTCATTCAACTAGGATTTGTGGTTTATATCCTTTTCAGGGCATTATGGAGGACAAGCTTTAGTCTTTTCATATTTTTGGTTATTGTCTGTATTTCCACAGCGGGATTTCTGAACTACGCAGAGAGAATCTGGGCACTGTATCGTGCAAGCATGGATGGCCTTAGAAAATCTATGATGAATGATGGAAACGCCGGGCCGAGCTACGTGGACATTGTGGAGACATACTCATTCACAATCAACACAGGAATTCTAGCACACAGGCAATCGGAACACCTAGAATCATCCACAACAGCAGTAGATAATTACACCAAGCCTGAGAATCCTGAGGTACAAACATTGAAGAATGCTCATTATTTATTTATGACTTTTAGGCGTCTCTTTGTCGATCTCAAACTCACATTTGAAGACCGAGCCAACAGCCTGTCCATTTTCAATGGCAAAGACGCTTCAGCAGCATTTGAAATGGTTGAGATCGAGCTGAATTTTGCCTATGATGCCCTGTACACGAAAGCATTCGTGGCTCATAGTCCTCCTGGTCGCATCATTCGGGTTGTTAATATAGTTTTAGTCCCTGCAGCTTGCATTCTTTTTGCTCTCACAGACAAACATGGTTTCCATGACAGAGATGTTTTCATCACATACCTGCTACTTGTAGGTACTATGGGTTTGGAAATTGCGTCGTTGCTGGTGTTCATCGTCTCAGATTGGACTGTTGTTCTGTCGAACACCTTGTGGTTGAATCAGAACTTCCTAGAACAAGTCATCCCTTGGATCCTTTCCTTTGTGAGAAAAACTTTTCTCTGTTTGTCCAGAGGACAAAGTTCACGAAATGCAAAATCCGGGGAGGCTAAAAGATACCGCTGGTCTCATTCCATGAAGCAGGTCAGCCTGTTGAGCTATTGCTTGCATGATCACGAAACTTGTTTCCAAAAACTCCTTGCTTATCTAAAAGCCAAGGAATATTTCGACAAGTATAAGTGCACAAAATGTGAGAAAATTCTCACAACACTAGAAGAGCTTATTTGGGAAAATCTGAAGGGAAAGGCACAAATCAGTGAGGATGCTGAAAAGAACAGGAACCTCACTGATTGGAGAGGCAAAAATGGCATTTCTTGA